AAGCTCATCTGTCCAGAACAGCACTTCATCGCGACACTGCTGTAAGCATCCTTGGGCCTGAACCATGTACATCGGATTGGCCGAGGGTTCCACGCACCCGCAAGTTACACTGCAGACCATGCGCAGGAGCTGCGAATGGGGACCAAGGCAGTGGGAAGCCATATCTGCACAGGTACTGTTGCTTGGCAATCCCAGGCCGATGGCTGCTGACCACCAGTACGGCGCATATCTGTCAGGAATCGCATCTCCCTCGCCCCAGAGGAACCACTTGTCAAAATCATCACACCGCAGTGACTGCGTCGTGGAAGTGGCCAACGTCTCCAAACGCGTCCTCTCGAAGTCACGTATGTTGTTGACAGCGAGAAGGAGCTGGCTCTGATGTGACTGACTTGACAGAGCATACTGGCGCACTTCTTGTGCAACATAGCCTGGCAGCAGATCCTCCGAAAAGTGCATGGTTGCCCGCACGACGGCCACACCATGGTGATCATTCCTGCCGACCACAAAATCTTGGTTGCCAGCACAGTACTCACGCTTCAAGTCTTGCATGGTGGCAGAGAGTGGGGCAACCAGCTGGGACCATGTCAAAATCATTGCCACTGCGAAGAGCAGCACAAGGAGAAAGCACTCTATTTGGCTTCGCCATATAGAGTTGCGGAAGTGCAAGGGCTTGAGCTTCTTGATGCTAACCTGGAAATTCGTGGGCATGAAAGCTCCATAAAAAATGGTGTCCAGCTCTAGGAGGTTCTTCAAGACCACAGCATGCAGCATAAGCCGCCTGACAGATGTAGTGCTTGCAATCCATAGAATGCCAGCGACCAGCAACATGCAGGAGATTGCAGCCTTTGAGAGCCGAACGGCGTAAAACAAGCAACGCCGTGGCATTGACAAGCAGAGGACCGTGCCGTCAAGAAGCTCAGTGGGGCCACGTGGCACATGCCACATGGCCTCGACGGATGAAAGGATTGAGCGCAGCTCCCTGCCAAGATAGAGGCACCACCAGAAAATGCAGAGAACACAAAGCACAGTCCCCGGGGACAGGCCCTCAGGGGTCAACTGAGAATCTTCCAGACCTAGATATGCATTTACCTGCCCAATCAGGTCGGCTTGCTTGTTTGACATGATCAGGGACGAATCTCCGTTGCATACACGCGACACAAGACTTGTGTCTGCAAGATCCAGATGCTTGTGGTCATGCGCGGCCCCCATTCTCCACCTCTGTGCCGGGCCTATTTCAGCCGTCAAGGGGTCTCCCAAGAAATCCCTTGTCAGAAGCACAATGGTAAAGGCAAGCTGCATCAGCGGGCTTGCGATGACAACGACACTTGCGACGATGGTGTCGAACCATCCAGCCCCAGCAAACCCAAGGACTAGCAATGCGTTCCACGTGAACTCGCCGAACGGAACAGGCTCTTTCGGCCCTTCTGGCGCATTCCAAGGCTTTTCCGTCGGCTGCAAGTCTGAGATGGGGGCTCCCTTTTCGGGACCTATCGCCTCAGGCATGTTTATAATCTGCTCGCAAACATCAAAGCTATGATCTTGCTGCTGCCTGATTTCGTACTTTAATTCCTCCACTCGTGCCATGCACTGCGCAATCGCACGCTCTGCTACCTGAACATCCGTACGAAGCTCCTCTCTCAGCCCTAGCAGCACGGCTTTCTCAGCCTGAAGCTCCCTTCGAAGCTCTTCTTTCAGCGTTCGCAGCAAGGCGTCATGAAGCTCGGGGCCCCATCCGTCATTAGAAGCCATCCAAACGACGAAGCACAAAGGAGGCCGAAGCCCCCTTTTTTCGCAACTAAATGACTCGAAACATCTGAATGACTCGAGTCTGACACTTGAGCCAGAGTCATTTTTTTCGCCACCAACTCGTTACTCGTCGAATCTGTTGCTCAGAGAACCTCCCAGTCCAGGAAACGCAACTTCCATGCCGAGAAGCAAGAACCCTGTTCAGTGAGAGGCAGACAGATGGATAGAAATGCGTTCAGAACAATGCGATGCTGTTTCAAGACCACAACACAGACTCCAACTAAAACACCTGCGACAAATGCTGCAGATTTGGGACGTCTGCCTGCTGCACAGCGAGTCGGTAGAAAGGCACGTCCTGCAAGGGCCATTGGCAAGCGTTGTTAGAGCACACAAGGAGTTTCTTAAGTTGGGCATCTCTTCTACAAGTATCCTTATGTTTAGGTGTAATTGGGGTCCTCATTTGAGCGTTCTCAGAGTGCATCTTGCGGGTAGTGTACGATTTTACAGGGCGTTTCCCAACCCCTAATTAAACCCTACATGCTGACCCCACAAAACCCAAATTAAACCGAGCCCGAAGAATCCTGAGCCCTAAAGCCTGAATTCGACCCACAACGCTGCATCCTAACGCCAGCACGCGCTGCGCTCCAAAGCCCACAACACCAAAGGCACCCGAACGCCCAGCAAACTTCAAGACATCCGACAGCCTCAAGCACCCAAGACATCGGAGAGCCTGAAACTGCAGAGCCACGCGGAAACAAAAAGCAAAGCAAACCCGACCGCAAAACCCAGAACCCCAAACCCCGAACACTAAACCCCAAACCCTGAACCCTAATTACCCCAAACCCTGAACCCTAAACCCTCGCAACCACCAAACCCTGAAACGCTGAACGCTGGACCTCATCAGCCAGAACTCGAATCGCTCGATCGGCATGGGGATGTCCCCAGGCCTAAGATCTGAGAGTCCGGCATAACACGTGTTTTGGGATTTTAAGCTTTGGGTTCTTCATTGCTTTGTTCCGCATTTTTGGTGCGCTGGGTTTAGGCTTCAGGGTCTAGGGGTTTGGCTTTAGGGTGGCATCAAGGATTTTAAACTACAATTCTCGTTGGGCAAATTTCGGGTGTCGGCTTGAAATGTGGGGTGCTGTACAAATATTGCAGCTATCACTCAGGGTTCCCTATACAACTACACCATCGTCTGCCCCAAAACCCTGTTCTAAATATAAAAGCCCCTACATTAGGCTCTATTAAATACCCGAGTAAGACCCTTACAGAGCCCTGAGAGGAGCCCGCTAACACACGCAAGGATTATGCTCTACTTACTCCTGTCTCGATATGAGGGCTTTGTGGTCTCCAAACCGGGAGGCATTTTAATAGGGTTTTGGGGTCTACTGTAGTGCAGCTATCATATATAATGACCAGCAGCCCTCAAGAGTAATGGTAGAAAATCCTGTAGAGCCCTCCAAACCCCCAGCCCGGAGGCCCAGAACCCCGAATTCGAGGACCCGAGTCTGGAACCCTTATACCCGAGGCACTCAAGACCCTGAACCCCCAAACCGAAACCCCAAAATTAAACTCCTTAGACCCAAACGCTACACCAGGAACTCTGCCTGAACTACACGGTCTTGCTTGTGCTACCCAACCAACCCTTCCGAGCCCACCCTAACATCCTAAACCCTACACCACAAACCGAAAGACAAAACTTCATTAGGGCCTAGTAGGGTCTAGGACTTAGGGTTCAGGGTTTAGGGACTTTTCTGAACTCGTTGTCGAGCGACGCCGCAGCGGAAGTCTGAGGAAGTCAGGGAGCAGCAATCCCTCGGAGGGGCTATTGGGTTGAAGACTCAGGGAGTTTAGGCTACAAGGGGGCTTCGGGTTTAGGGCGGGGTTTAGGTTTAGGGTTTAAGGTTTAGGCTAATAGGGGGTTGGGGGAGGGCTTAGGGCTTTTTCAAGGTTTAGGGTTTAGGATTTATGGTTAAGAGGTTTTGGGTTTTGCTTAGAATTACGAGGCTTTGGGTTTTGGGTTTGGGCTTGAGGCTTAGGGGCTCAGGGGCTTAGGTGAATAGGGTTTAGGGGGTTTGGGGAGGGTTTAGGGGTTTGTTTTGGCAAGTATTCCGGCCTCTAGACTTAGATTAGGGCAACAAGGGGCGTAGGTCTTAGGGTTTCTGGTTGAGGGTTTTAGGGTCTAAGCTCCTCGTCTGTGCAAGGCCTTTATGGGATTTTGTAATGGGTTTAGGGGAGCTCGTCTTCTGCGTCTAAAGGTTCTATGAGGTGTTGTAGGGTTGGACAACCTTTACCAGTGACCAATCCTACAACCTACGTCTAGAACCCCGAACCCTCGACTCCACAAACACCCGTTGAAACCTAGGCCTTAAATCCAAACTTCCTGCACCTCAAACCCTGTCAAGCCCAAATCCCAAACCCCTATATACACCCTGGAGCTCAAAACATCTACGGAAAAACCTCCCCCCAGTCTGAGGGCATTACCGGCCTACGGCCCAGAAGTCGTACGACCTCTGAGGCACACTTTTGCAGGGCAAAGGGGCGGGATAAAGTGGGAAACCCTAAACCCTAAACCTAAAACCTACAACCTAAACCCTACAACCCTAAACCCTAAACCCTAAAAGCCCTAAACCCTAAACCCTACAACCCTAAACCCGCGGGTTTAGGATGGAGCTCTGGCTTGGGGTCGATTCTCTGGGAGATGACGATTCTGGCTAGGGGTTTGATGTTTGGGTCTAATATAAGGGTTTAAGGTTTAGGGTTGGGTCTATTATAGGGGTTTAGGGTTTAAGGTTTAGGGATTACCAATACTTTCTGGGGCTTCTTAATATAACTTTAGTGCGACAAACCCCAAAGCCCTATTCTAGTTATTGAGGCCCTTTTGTTAGGGCTTCTTCCGTGATGGCGTCGTGTTCTTGGTTGGGATCGTTCTAGGTGGGAATATGGCTCCTGTGCACGCCTCGGTTTGTGTGACGACCGCGTCGTTCCTCCAAGGTTTCGCAGCTTGCTATTCCACCTAACCCTTATACGAAGGCCTCAGCTGTGACTCTTGAAGCGCAGACTGACAACTCGCAGCGCTCAAACCGGGAATTGTGTGTTCGAGCCCTCCCAATCTGGCTCTGCTTTGAGTACTCTCCACTTGTATAAGTTGGCATTGCCATGACAGAGAGAATCATCAGCACAAACGGGAGTAGCCAACATCGGGTATACTAGCATTAACAATGCAGTAGGTTTATTCACAGCTGCGTGAAGCCCTAAATCCGAGACAGAATGGTTCCCCGAGGGTTGCACCCGCTGACTGGCCCCAGTGTGCGGTTCGTGACCACCGGGGCGACGCAGTAGGTCACGTGGTGCTTGAAGTGCCAAGCCCTGGAATCGGCAAGGCTCATGGTGTAGGGCCGTCTGGGGTTTAGGGTTTAGGTCGGAAGATGTGCTAACAATGTCCTCTTATCGTCTCTCTAAAGCACGTAATATACTATCGTCTCTAACATACACCTCATATAATGTAGCCGCTAATATTCATGTATTTTGATGTGTGCACCCCCCAATCCAAGTTTCGGGTCTTGCGGGTCGGGCCGCGAGGGGCGAGACACATGAACACCGAAAGCTGCTGAAGCCCAACCCACTCAATACTAAACCCCTAGACCCCGAAGCCCTATAAAGCGAGAAGTCTAAAGCCTACTATACGGGCCTTAATCATCAGACACCCGTACATTTTCTTTCCCTGAAAGGGCCTGACGCCCTGCAAAGCAAGAAGTTCCAAACCCTAAACCCTAGACTCCAGACCTAACATAGGGAGAGGCCTGAATTGTTAGAATAGGGTTCCTTTAACGGGTTCCTGAAAAGGGATACCTTCACGATTAGAAGACGGTGTTGGGGATATGACAGCATAGCGATAGAAGGACTATAAGGGGATACTCTTATTACATATTCCGATACCCCTAGACCCTAAACCCAAAACCCTAAATCCCAATTCAAAAGCCTCATCTCATCCAGGTAGTTCCCTTTGGCGAACTCGACAATTCCGGCCTCAGTCCGCACGCTGAGGCGAAGAGCTAAACCTTAATCTCACGACCCGAAACTCCACTAACTGCAGGGCTTTAGGGCTCAAGGGGTTTGTTCAGGGGTTAGGGCCTGCGGCTTAGGCGTCTCGGGGTTAGGAGTTTGGGGTTCAGGGCTTAGAACAGCTCTAGACCCCAAACTTCAACTAAGCACTACTAAGCCTTCGACCCGGTTGTTCGCAACACAGGGGCTCCTGGTTCAAGCGGACCTATCTTTTGGTTGTAGTTGAACCTTACACAATGCCTCAAACCCTATAACCCTAACCCCCCAAACCCCCTAAACCCGTGACTCCTAGCTCCTAAATTCTTAACACCTAAACCCCCAAACCCTTAAACCCTAAATCCTAAACCCTAGACCATGGAGTCCATATGGGTTTAGGTTTAAAGGATCATGGGAGTTAGCACTTGGGTTCCTAAATGGGCTCCTCAAAGGGATCTACAAGGGTTTAGGGGAGGTTAGTAGCTGGGATCCTGAAAAAGCTCAGGGCCTCCAGGATTTCGGGAGGTTACTAGCCAAGTTGTAGGTAGGGCAACTCCAGATCTGATGAGGGGTTGGGGTTTAGGGCGTTAAAGGTTTAGGGGTTTGAAGTCCGACCTACAGCAGTTCAGGGTTTACGGGTTTAGGCTGTAGCCCCCACCCTTAGGATACTCATAACCTGACAGACTCAGCCCTAGTCGGTATAGTCACTATATAACTATACCAAACTATGTACCCACTTGAACCCTACGCATCGAAACCCTGGACCACCAAGCCTGCAAAACCAAAGAAGCAACCCTGACATCGCTCCTGGACCCTACCTGCAGCCGACAAGGCCTACCTCTTCGGGGTTCCTTACTATGGTCTCTGTATATAGCTCCCGTTGGGCAACAGGTAAACCCTCAACCCCCATGCAAATCCTGTAAAGCTCGAGACAGACCCTCTGCAGAATCAGATGCCCCTAGTTCTTCCAATATTGAAGCTGGTATACTTGACTATTCCCCAAAGCTCCCTGTATGGTTCTAGTTCAATATACCCGAAAATCCGATTTTGATTGTTAAGTCCCCTGCATTCCAGAACGGCTTTAGAACCCTTGTAGTAACGGCTTTAGAACCCTACTACGAACCTTTTGAGGGAACCCAACTGCAACTGTTGAGGCCCTATACCTTAAACCCTAAAGTCACGCCCAGGGCCAGACGTCCAACATAGAGTCGCCTTGTGCGTTGGAGACGTCGACGCCCGACAGCACCTCCCGCGGTTTAAGGTTTAGACTTGGTGCTCTGCGGTTTAGGTTTTGGGGTTATGCCTCGAAGAATCAGTCGAGTGTCCCTGGTTGTAAGGTAGGCAGGCTTGACATTCACTAACACTGTTCCATAGGATTCCTCAATATGTTCTATATATATATATATATAAATATATAATACACGATATAAATTAGATTAGGTTGGTAGCTTGTCGGGAGAACCTTGCCAATTTTCAAACATGGCATGCTCTTCTTTGGGAATTCTACGGCTGGCGGTTTGAAGTTCCAGGCTTTACGGTTTTGTAATCGAGTGGTTGCGGTGCAGTGAGCTCCAGGAACCTCACATCACATAATTATCCGGAGCTGCTGCACTGGCATAAGAAACACAGCCCCCTTTGCTCTCTTCAGCTCGCTTGCCGTCGCGCGCATCTCTGTAGAGTCGTCGAGGGAGACAGCTTTCGAAGATGCTGGACCACTCCTTGCCCTGGTGTCGCTCGATGAGGATCTGCATCACCACCTGGGCTTTTGTTGGGGAAACTTTGTTTAAGCTACCATAATCAGGAAACCCTTTTACGTTCTATAGATCCCTATTCTGGTAACTACAGTTAAACTCCAGAAGAGCCCAGCCACGTCGATGTTGAGGATGGGATGAAGACCCTTCGGGCCGTGTTCCTTGAGCGGCAACTTCCGCAGCTGCAAGTCTTGATCCTTCGCCTGGTCGAGAGTCCTCTTCTTCTGAACCCTTCGGTCGACGAGGCCCCCGATGACGTAGATCTTTTCTTCCTCGACGGTTTCGAGGCATTCTGTGGCATCCGGCGAGAGGATGACCAGATCCTCCGAGTTGAAGAGTTCCCAGACACTCTCCTCATGCACATGCACCTTCCACCCTGGCAGCCCACTGTTGGCCAAATGTGCACTGGCTGGATTCTGAGCATCCAAAGAGGTCAGGTGCAGCTGGAAATTCGCTCGCATGCGCTTTAGAAGCGTGTACACTAGCTTCACCTGCTGGGCCAGGGACCTGTTTTCCCGGTCTCCCATAAATTCCCCGAAGCTGCAATTGATGACAACTCGCGGGCGACCTCGCTCAAAGGCTAGTTCCAGGCTCTCTTCCATCTCAACTTGCTTCCGCCTCTCTTCGAAGAAGTATGCCCGCCTGGGATGCGAAAGAAGCTCCTAATGAGAAGGGACTGGTTAGGTCTGCTTTCTGAACGCATAACTGTGTAACTGCATTACCTGGTGTTCCAACTCAGCCACTTCTCTTCCTCGGTCATCTTGGCCAGCAGCTCCTGCCGGGCCGCCTTCCGACGGAGAGCGGCCTTGCGCCGCTCCAAGGCGCGGCCAGCCTTCCGCTTCTTCTTCATCTCCTGAAACCTCTGCTCCCTCCGCCACGAACGCCTCTCTGATGGCGACAGCTTCCCGGGGGCCGGAGGCAAGGGAGGATAGGAGCGCCGGCGCGGCTTTTGCCGCGCTATGGCCGGCTTCACGACTTGGAGCTTTTTCAGCGTTTGGGGCGGCGGGCGTGTGCTTGGCGCCCGCAGGCGCTGGTACCAGCTCCGGAGGGGCTTTGTGGCGGCCCAGAAGCCCAGCAGCCAAGTCCAAAGACGAGGGCGCCCGGAGGCTCGGTTTCCATCACGGGCCCCAGCCCGGACCCGAATGCCTCGGTAGTCTTTTTGGTAAACGAGGGGGGTCCTTCACAGAGTAGGGCTTTGGGGCTTATGTAGTATATGATATTACGAAAGTGTTTAAATAACAAGGAGCCCTAAGGAAGAATATTGGTAATTCTGCAAGCTTCTAGAGTAGTCCAGCCCATGAGGTTTGCTCCAGACGACAGCTTCGCGTAGGACGGGTCCTCCCGGTGCCAACATGGCGATGCCTAACTGACCTACCATGCTCTTTCCAGAAAGCTGACTGCTGTCACAAGCGGATACTTCCGACAAATGAAGCCATTGAGATGAAAGAAATCGATTTTAGAGTGGTTGCTGAACATGATATACGAAACAAGAGTTCTTCGCATGCAGAATCCATACTATCATCTAGTTGATTTAGCTGCCCGCATACATACAGGCAAAGTTTCTTATTGATCATGCTAAACTCTGGGCTGTTCGAGCCAACGGTTTGCAAAGAAGATGCCTCCGTTTTTGGTCTTCTAAGCCGGAGAAATAACTCCACACCATGCGACAAAAGGTATGGTAGCCTGCATTCTTACCTCCCATCCGCCAAATAATGAAACAAGATCGCACAACAACCCTACAATTCACCGTCAATGCTACATTCAACTGAAGAAAACCGTCATAGCCACAACACGGGGCAAACAAGCCATAAACCTGAATGTGGGCGGCCTGGTTAATGGCAACCCTACTTCCTTATAGCCCCCTAAACCCCAAAGCCCTTAGTCGACAAAAGCCTTGAGATCTCCCACTCGGTAGTAATGCTGCATGAGGCCTGAGATGGCTTCAAGAGCTCCTTTGAAGGGTTCCTTTACGGCTCCCCGAAGGGCTCTTTCAGGGCTGCCAAACGGGTATGATGGGGGGGCCTCTCGTAGTCTTCCTTTCAGGGTTTAAGGTTTCAGGTTTAGGGCTCAAGGTTTTTAGGGTGCAGGGTCTACGGTCTTGCAAGGCTTTGGGTTTAGGTTTAAGGTTTAAGGTTTAGGGTGGTCTCTGTGTTATGACGACGGCTTCTCGGGGGTGTTACCGAGGCCAGCGGGAAGTGTTTGGGCTGAAAGTGGCTGCTGTTTCTGGGCCTTGAAATGCGTAGTTGTGGTTTAGGCCCACAGAATGGGGCGCTCTGGCGCACATTGGGGTGCAGGGTTCAGGCTAGAACCTCAACCCACGATACCCAAGACGATGCCACCCAAATCCCCAGCATGCAGACAACATTGAAACCCAAACAGTGTGAACAGTGTGAATGGGTTACGATTTGCGGCTGGAGCGGCCCTAGGCTGCCTAAAACCATGCATCGAAGGCAACTTTGAAAACGATGTATTGCGGCGCCATGGGAGACTGTTGAACACTCAAGCCCTGCATCCCCACATCCCTAAACCCTCCATAATACGAGACCGTGAATCACAAACCCCAGACGGTAAAGCCAAGCCATTGGCAATACCAGGTGTCTGCTAAACCTGATGCCATGGTGGGGTTCAGGTTTCACATGGGCCTGACAAAAGGGCCCCAAGCCGTAAACAGAACCCTAAACTCCCAACCCTTAACCCCGAACTCCAAACTCTAAACCAGTAACTCTCGGGGGAGGAATTCTCAGGAACGGGCTTGAAAAGATCCAATGTCCGCAGAGAGGGCCAGTCACCTGGTGTCGCTTTCCTGCTTTTTAAGCCCATAAGGGCCACTACGAGGTTACCACAAGGGTAATAATGGTTGGGCATTGAGCTTTCGGAGCTCAGAGGTTTAGGGTCTAGGGCAGTCTAGGGTCCCGGGGCTAGGGCTGAGAGGCTCTTCAGGACTGTGATATCTAAATTCACACATTCGGGGCCTGTAAGGGGGTCCGGAATATCTCGTGTTTCGGCTCTTGGGAGCAGGTGTCTAAAGCGAGGAACCCCCTAAACTCCTAAACCCTGAACCCTTAAACTCTGAACTCTTAAAACCCTAAACCTAAACCCTGAACCCTCAAACCCTAAACCCTGAATCCTAAAGCCTGAACCCCTGAACCCTTCAACCCGACAGAGTTTTGTCCAAAGATGGAAGGTCCAAGGAAGCGCACCACGGCCAGGCCCAGCGTAAAGCAGAGGTAGGTGTACCTGGAGCATCAGCTTCACTATAAAACTTCGGCTTTAGGGTTCAGGTCAATGTTATGATATGCCATGTGATGCTATACTATACTATCGTGTATAGAAGTTATGTTACCCTACACTGTTTACTTGGTTCTATTTTTACTGCATATGATATATTGTACTATGTTATCTTATCTTATCCCATATGAAAATATGTTATATTGTATTATCAGATTTCGAGCGCCTGTTAACCCCTACCGAGCCCGAGCAGTTGGGCTTGGAGGTTGGAGGTTCGGAAACGCACATCATTAAAACCCTAGACCTATTTATACCCTATAGGGTTTACGGTTTAGAGATGTTTAGGGTTTGGGGTTTAGGGCTTGGGGTTTAGGGTTTAGGGCTTAGGCTTAAGGTTTACGGTTCAGGTATGTTTAGGGCTCAGGGTTTTGAGACGCTGTGAGGATTTGGAGGCTGTTGGGTTCACAGGGTCTTTAAGGTTTAGGGCGTAGGGTTTAGGGCCTAGGGTTTAAGAACTTAGGGTTTAGAGTTTAGGGTTTTTGGGTTTAGGAACGATGCGGCAACGGCTTACTGTTGAGTATAGGGTTGGAGCAACACCTTTCCGGAAGCCCCAAATAATTCACGAACCTGATTAAGAAACGCCCGTTAGAAAATAACGCCAAAATAGCAGGACACGTATTCAGAGCCGAATTACATTCCGGAAATCGACAACCCGAAATGCCCAAACCCGAAACCCGAAACCCTAGAGGCTAAAGCAGATCAACGACGCACCAGGTCGGCTCCGGAATTCGGAATCGCGCATAGACAGCAGCACCCACGCCTCGCCAAGAACTTCTCAGGGTTCAGGGCTCAAGGTGACTGTAGGGTTTGGGGATTTCAGGTTTAGGGTTTTAAGCTTCTTTTAGTGCAATGGGCCGCTCTTTCTCCGGGTTTAGGGTCTAGGGGTTAGGGAACATGGCCGCACATGTCAATGACCCATCATACACTGAGCCCCGGGCTGACTACCCAGGCCAGAATAAATCCAATGAGGATCAGATCGACGGTATACGGAAAAAGATACCTGACAGGTGGTTTTGGGTTCCGGGGCCGCTGGCCGCTTCGCAACCCAAAAACCCCGAACAGCCCTCGACGACAAAGCTGACCGAAACCTCTAAACCTCTAAACCTCTAAAACCTAAACCCTATAAAACCCAAACCGTGAACCCAAACCCCGAACCGAAAACTCTAGCAACTCTGAACGCCACCTCTCCCAGCCAGCACTTAGGATCCGAAAGCCCAGGCTTTATACCCTCGGCCCCGTACCGACCTGAAATGGGAGCCATCATTCGTATATTCTACGGTGATTATAGTAAGGAACCCAAAGAGTAGTATCACTGTTTGTTTCGTCCTCTATATTGGAGCCCATACCCGAAGCCCTCAACGGGGCACTTGATGCGAAAGGCGGAGAGCCAACAGGTGGCCACGAACACCGCCCAGGGCCTGAGCTGTCGTGCTTTGTGGAAGCAGGGAAGAGGGTTTGGGGGTTTAAGGGTTTAAGGTTTAGGGTCTGGGGGTCTGAGGTTTAGGAGGTGAGGTTTAGGGCTTGGGGGTTTCGGGTTTTAGGGCTTCGTGTTTAGGAGTTTAGGGTTTAGGGTACCTCGGTGGGTTTTCAGCACATACTTGCAAAGCGGGTGATGGTGGTTAAAGGCTGTCGATAAATCAAAGGCAGCATGTGTATGCATATGTATAAACACACAGGTACCTACATACAGTGTATACATTTATGATTCATGTACAGGATTCAAGGCGTCGGCCCGTTTGCGCAGGACCTCCACCAAATGCTTGTAGTTTAGGGCTTAGGGTTAATCCTCTCTAAACAGCTGGCATTCGCACTGCCGATACACTTCTAGCAGGCTGCCGGGCATACTCAAGATCTGGATTTAGGGTTCCCCCAGACAAGGTAACACCAACATACATCGAAACAAGCCCTCTCCGGAATTTTCGGAACACCCGCCTCACAATGCTGTGTTACGTCAACGAAACCCTAAGCCGACAACGCTAATCCGAAAATCTCAGACCCGAAAGCCTCAACACCCTGAAATTACAAACAACAAACCCTAAACCATAAACCATAAACCCCAAACCCTAAAGCCTCAAAACCGGGAAATGATAAACACCAAGCCCTCAACCAAAGACCAAAACCCCTGACGATTTCGGGCAACCCCTTTAGGGTTTAGGGACCCTAAACCTTAACGCGCTCTTTTCTCGCCGCGGGTTTCTTCTACTCGCTCTTAGTCTTGGCCAAGGATTCGGTGATGAGCTTTTCGCCTGTGAAGGGCCGGCCGGCGCGGGATCTTTGAAGGCTTTGGGCCTTTCATTGGGTCTCTCATTGTCCTAAACCCTACAGTTACTACTTACTACATACTACAACAACAACTACAACTACTGCAGCAACAACAACAACAACTACTACTACTACTACTACTACTACTACTACTATTACTACTGCTGCTGCTGCTGCTACTACTACTACTCCTGCTACTGCTGCTACTACTGCTGCTACTGCTGCTACTGCTACTGCTACTGCTACTACTCCTACTACTACTACTACTACTACTACTACTATTACT